TCTCTCCCTCCCTCCCTCCCTCCCTCCCTCCCTCAGTGCCTCTCTCCCTCCCTCTTGTGTCTCTTGCAGAAGACACCCTGATTTCAGCCCCTGGCGTCCCCGGCAAACTTCTCCTCTTTCATTTTTCCACCACCCTAGGGAACCCCAACTCGGGTCGCACCCTCTGTGCGTCTCTTTTTCGGCTTCCTTGAGCTCCCAGTCGTCTGCCCTCCTCCCCGAGCCACCCTCTTGGTCCCCAAGTCCGGAAAATACGCCCCCTTTCCCCTGTCTACCCCTTCACTCTGCGCCGACCAACCCCAGGCTAGCCCTCCCCGCCAGGTCAGTGCCTCCGTCTCCCCCACCCCCAACTCTGGCCCCAGTCGCCTCTTCCGCCCAGCGCCTCCTGGAAGGGAGCTGGCGGATGCCACCTGGGGCCCCGCCCCTCGGCCCCCGCCGTGCTCTGGGTTCTGGCTTCACGCACCGCTGCCCCGCGCTGCTCCGGGCTGCGCGAGCAGGTTCGCGCCGCAGCCGCCTGGCGCGCCCCAGCCCGAGCCCTGGGGAGGAAGGGAGGGCGCCCGTGCGGGTGGGGCTGGCCTGCGCCAGTGCTCCCCCGGCCCCCGCCCTCCATTCTCCCCCTGCCCCTCACCGCGGCGCCCTTCCCCAACCTGCGCCAGCGTTCGCTCGTCCTGCCGAGGACTGCTCAGTGTGACAGTTGCGGGACTAAACTTGAGCGCTCAGTGCACTGGGGAAGTATGGGCTCCACCTCCCCCGACCCCGAGTGAGGGAGTGGGGATGCAGCAGGGAAGGGGAGCCTCTAGGACGTGGCCTGAGGTCCCTACACCCTCCCTGGCCCGGGTTTCGCTGGCCCAGACCAGGCACTGTTGGGGGGTGAGGTGGGGGCTGATCTCCAGTTTCCTCTAGGGCGGCCAGGTGCAGATGCTGGCAGGCAGATCCGAACGCGGGGACCAGGCTCGGTGGCCGGTTCCATTCTTTCGTAGCCGCTCGGTGCCCCGCCGGGGAGCCGGTCTCCATTCCCCAGGCTCTGCCCTGCGGCAGTGCCCAGTCTGGAGAGAGAGCCGGCCGTAGCAACCGTCTAGCCAGGAGAGGCAGTAGACCGGGAACGGTTGCTGCCTCTGGAGCTTTCACTGTGCCTCAGTTTCCCTCGACTCTTTTGGTTCCCTTCTTTTGGCTTGCCTCCTAGTTATAGGAGAGCTGAGAAGCAGAGCGTGTGATGAAGGGCAGGTGTGTTTGGGGGGTCTCCTGTGTGAGAGGGGCCGATATTGCTTATACTTTACATCTGAATGCTAATTCTCTGTCCACCTAGGAGGTGGAGCTAGATGGAGACCCAGGTCTCTTGGTTCCAGGCCCCGTGGAATGAGGCAAGGGACATCTGAGGTGAACATTGAATCCACAGAGAGCCAACTGTGCATTTAGGGCTGATGGCCTGGTGACTCAGTCAGAGGTGGGCAGGGAGTGGGCCAGGGAAGGCAAGAGTTCATTCAAGTACCACTGGGGGTTTTCAGTGCCCGCCCATCCCATCTCCAGTGAGCCCCCACCTGCCCCCACCCCATTTCCTGGGTGCTGGGAAGTAGGTGGGAGGGGACCTACTCTCTTGCCTGGCTGCCCTTTGAGGGTCTGGCTTCTGGCCCTGCTCCCTCCTGGGCTCTGTTTATGGCTGTAATTGCATCGTTAGCTAGGGTTTATAGAGTTACTTAGCACCTGCCCCCACAGGGAGTGGCCCAGCCACCCTTCCCTCTGGCTTCTGTCTCTTCCTTTTCAAAGTCAAGTTGGTTTTTGCAGGCAGCAGGGGTTTCCCCAACCACAGTTGGCATGAAAGCCAGGTTGAGCCTTTGTCCTGGGGATGGAGAGCAGGGGACACTTGGGGCCCAGCTTGGGGCTGCCATAGAAATGATAGTGGCCTCCGTGTGTGTGTGTGTGTGTGTGTGTGTGTGTGTGTGTGTGTGTGTGTGTGTGTGTGTGTGTGTTGGGAGGGGGGCAGGGGAAGTTCAGATTCTCAAAGCTTCCAGAAGTTTCCCTATCTCAGGGTACAGCCAGACTCTGATATGCTGTGAAAGGAGAGACTAGAAATGGAATCACCTGTTAGCTGCTGTGGGGAATAAGGACAGCGAGGGGCCAGGACCTGGAGAGTACATGTGGAGTGTGTGTAATGGGTGAGATGTGTGGAACCTAGTCTTCTCTGTGCATGAATTGTGTAGATGAATGTCTCTGACAGGAACAAGAACACAACACTGTATTAATTAGAGTATTCAAGTGCTGTACCAGAGCGGGACTGTCATAAAACCTAGCTGCAAACAACTGTTGCCAGCATCGAATGTGTCTCTTTGCATCAGGATAGGGATTATTTCTTTTGTTATAGCGATTCAGAGAAGTTAAGTAAATTGTTGAAAACCACATAGCCTGAAAGTAGAGGACTAACCCAGGTTCTAACCCAGGCTCAGCTGATTCCAAGCTTCACATCCTTGATTCCTGAAGAAGACCACATCCGTGTGGCAGACATTCTTTTTTTATCGTTTGTTCTTATTTATTTATGCTGATTTTTCAAGACAGGGTTTCTTTGTGTAGCCCTGGCTACCATAGAACTCACTCTGTAGACCAGACTGGTCTCAAATTTACTGGTCTCTGCTTCCTGAGTGCTGGGATTAAAGGCATGTATCACCACTGCCTGGCCAGAAGTTTGTTCTTTTCTTTCTTTTTTTCTTGTTTTTTGTTTTTTGTTTTTGTTTTTCGAGACAGGGTTTCTCTGTGTAGCTTTGGAGTCTATCCTGGTACTCGCTCTGAAGACCAGGCTGGCCTCGAACTCACAGAGATCCTCCTGCCTCTGCCTCCTGAGTGTTGGGATTAAAGGCAGGCACCACCACGCTTTTTTAAAAATTGATTTATGTGTGTTTGTATGAGGCTGCGCATACAGAGTGCAGGACACAGAGTCCAGAAGAGGGTATCAGGTCCCCTAGAGCAGGAGTTACAGGCAGTTGTGAGTTACCAGACAGGGTGCTGGAAACTCAGCAAGAGATCTTACCCGCCAAGCTTCCTTCTCCTTTAAAAGGTGTGGAGGGTAGGGGGCTGGAGAGCTGGCTCAGAAGTCTGCAGTTAAGAGAACTGACTGCTCTTCCAGAGGGACTGAGGTTCGATTCCCAGCACCACTTGGTACCCAACTGTCACAACTCAATCCTATGTGGTTGGATTCCTCTTCTGGACCCCTTGGGAACTGTACACATGCAGTACACAGACAAACACTAACACACATAAAATAAAATGAAAATTAAAATCTAAAACAAGTTGTAAAAAAATAAATACAAATGAATCTTTTTAAAGTGGGGGTATGGTAGTTTGGGGACCTTCTCTTTGGTGCCCAGGGTCTTCTGCCCTGGGACTGCACTTGTCTCCTAGCTTCCTTTCTGGGCTGCTGAGCCAGGTGCCCAAAGGTCCTCTGGGAGACCCTGTCCTGTGAGGAGATAGGCCGACAGGGCTTTTGATGGCCTCTCTGGAAAACTCATTTGAGCCAGGAAGGGGAGGAGGCTTCTTATGGACAGCCTTCTGGGTGTGTGGCTTTGGCTACGGACAGCGTGTCCTTTAAGCCACAGTACACCCTCAGTAAAGGTGCATTTCATCAGATGTGGGGGAAAGGCAGTGAGTGGGACCTTTGGTTGAGAAAGTCACAAGGTCACAGGACTGGGAGCCCAGAGACCCCAATACCATCAATGACTATCAGTGTGACTCTGCTCAGCCTCCTTTCACCTGCCTATGAACACTAATCATCTGTAGAGTCCCCTCCAGTAACAGCCTTCTACAAGCCTCTGCCTCAGGCACCAGGACACCAGGCTACAGAATGGGAGGGTGTGGGTGGCAGACCTGGGATTGATGGAGTCCCTGGATTCAAGCCTGGATCATGTTAGGATGTAACCCCAGCCACCATTTATAGCACTATACTGAGTGTAACTTCATCTGGATGAATATTGGCACTATGGGTTCTGGGGCCAGGCTGCCTGGCTTGGGGTCCCAACTCTGTCTCTTCCCACTATGGGATCCTGGGAAGCTGTTTAGCAACCCACCATGCCTACTTCCATGATTAAGAAGTGTACACTCTACTTGCCCTACCCAAGAGCAAGAGCAGGTGTGTTGATGTCTGGAATATACGGCATACTTAGAATAACAAACACGAACTCAACTCTTGTGACTCTTTTATTTTTTCATTTCTCACTTTTAAGTGAGACACTGAGGCCCAAAGTGCTCCAGGAGAGAAAAAAAGGAACCATGGAAGGGCTGGGGATGCGTATGTAGCTCAGCTGGTAAAGTACTTGTTTAGCATGCTGGAAGCCCTGAGTTTGATCCTTGGTTCCAAATATGCTGGGCGTGGTGGCACACACCTGTAGTCCCAGCACTTGAGAAGCAGAGGCAGGAGAATCAGAAGTTGAAGGCCATCCTATGCTATAATATTGAGTTTGAGGTTAGTTTGAAAAACACTGGACCCTCCCTTTAAAAAAGAAAAAAAAATCAATCAGTGGGTTTGGAAAGAAGGTTTGCTGCTCTTCCAGAGGATGGATTCCAAGCACCTGTGCTGGGCAGCTCACAACCTCTTGTAGGTCCAGCTCCAGGGGTTCTGACACCTTCTAACCTTCACGGACACACAACAACACATACATTTAAAAAAACACCTTGAACTCACAGAGATCCACCTGCCTCTGCCTTCCGAGTGCTGGGATTAAAGGCGTGCGCCACCAATGCCCGGCTAAAAAACATCTTAAAACAAAACAAACAAAAAAGCCGAGGGTTCTAACAGTCCACTGGATGTATCTAATACCCTCAAATATAACACCTTCCAGGATGGAGAAATGGCTTGGCCATTCGTTAAGAGCACCAGCTGCTCTATAGTGCACCCAGTTCCAGTACCCAGCACACACATAGTGGCTCACAACCATCTGTCTCCAGTTCCAAGGGGTCCATCGCCCTCTTCTGGCCTCGGCATGCACATGGTACACAGACACATGCAGGCAAAACACTCATGCATAAAACAAATGTTTTATATAATATATATATATATAGTCAGATGGTGGTGGAATACTATGTGTGTGTGTGTGTGCGCGCGTGCGTGCGTGCATGTGTGTGTGTGTGTGTGTGTAGTCAGGTGGTAGTGACACACGATGCGTGTACTGTAATGTATATAGTTGGGCAGTGGTGGCACACACCTTTAACCCTAGCACTTGGGGGATGGAGGCAGGCAAATTTTGTGTGTTTTAGGCCAGTCTGGTCTACAGAGAAAGCTCCAGGACAGCCAGGACTACACACAGACCCTGCCTCTAAGATAAATAGATGGATAGATA